CTGCCAGCCTGGTTGCCCCCAACTGCCCCCACTGCTGGTCTGGTTGCCCCACACAGCCTGCTGTTTGGTGGTTTGGTTGCCCCTCGCTGCCCCCCCCTCCCCCCAGGCCTGGTTGCCCCATGCAGCCTGCAGCTCGGTCGTTTGGTCGCCCCTCACTAACCCCCCCAGCCGGCCGAATCAGCCCACGCAGCCTGTGGCTCGGTTGTTTGGTCGCCTCTCACTGCCCCCCCTGCCGGCCTGGTTGCCCCACGCAGCCTGATGCTCGGCTGTTTGGTTGCCCCTCACTAACCCCCCTGACAGCCTGGTCACCCCACGTTTGGTCGCCTCTCGCTGCCCCCCTGCCGGCCTGGTTGCTCCATGCAGCCTGTTTGGTCGTCCGTTCGGTTGTGATGGTCGCTTAGGCTTTTATATAGATAGATGTGTGCTCATCTTATGGTTGGGTACTTTTCTGGTCTTTGATTTCAGAATTTGGCACCTGAGTTAAAGACAGATAAACCTTCCATTTTCTGCAATTCAGTGATCACATGGTTCATACCATCTTTCACTTTTGTGTGAACAAAAATGTAAGGTCTTGTGAATGAGTGAAAGAATATTGGGTTACTGCTGATTTATGCTGTGCTTTTGAGACGAGGATGAACAAAGACCCCAGGGGTCACACTTGAGGATGAGTTCTATGAAATTAACCAAGAAATTACCTTTATCAAGAATCCAGGGGCCCCAGAAAGGAGATTTTGCAGCTCAAAAACAGAAGAAATTCAAGAGAAAGAGATTTATTTGCATAGACCCTCTGCTTCATGAGGTTTAATATCATTGAAATGTGCTGTAATTTTCAGGAACATTAATAAATTGATATTAGGTGGTCTATAGCTTGTAATTAATGTTTCATGGTAAAGATGGCAGTAATGATGTTTTAAATATCCTAATGCTCATTGGATTTCACTTTCGCTGGCAATTTGCAGCTCCTTTGAGTAAAACATTTATGTTCAATTTCAGAGACTGATAGATAGATGGGCTACCCCCTCCACCCCACCAGTAGAAAGTGCTAATGGTGCTTTCTGACGGCCGCTTTCCTGTAGGGAGCAGACATTACAGCTCCACTTCTCTCAGCAGCATCTCCGTCTGGCAGGGGTTTATATACTTTCTTCCATTTCTTGGACTTCAGATGACACGACCTTGCCATCCACTACTTCTTCCACCACTGTCTTAATCTTCCTGGTTTTCTTTACATCTGAATTTAGGTTGAAATATAAAATGTTAATTCAGACACATAACTCTTGCTGGTTTATAATACTCAACTTTAATTATTTTGTATGTACTTCCTTCTTTTAGACAAAAGTTCTCTTTCTTAAGTGATCTTAAGTCCATTTTAAAAATCAATGCAGAGAAGGTGCCACTCTGCCCAAATTTATACATTTCCTACTCTTCCCACCCCCAAAGAGAAATATGTAATATTGAATTAAGCAAATTGCACATTTTCACCCTATTTTTCATTTTCAAGATTTCAGGATGTCTCAGGACAACAGTAGCATGGGGCCAAGAAAATCACCCTGTCCTGGGAGTGTGACAAATTTCCCACAGGGAGGTCTCCTTTATGTGATCTGCTTGATTTTCAGAATCCTGAGGGTAATATATCAGCTCACTTGAGAACTGATCTACCTTTACTTTTCACCAGTGGCAGATAAGAAGTGGTAAGCTATTGAGTGAGAGTTTAGTCTTATAGGTAATGTGTGAAATTAGAACACTTACCAGCTTTCTCCTCCAGGATGCTTCTTTTAAGAAAAGGAAAAGAAACAGAAAAAAAGTGTTATTGCCATTTTGAAAATGAAGCATTTTGTTTCAAAATAAAGTCTGAGTGATGTGTGTTTTAATCCTGTGTTTGTATTCCCCCCCCTTTTATTATGCTTGTCTCTTCTAACTTGAGTGTCATACTTTTTTTTTTTTTGTTAATCCTCACCTGAGGATATTTTTCCATTGATTTTTTAGAGAGAGCAGAAGTGGGTGGGGAGGGGGGAGACTGAGAGAGAAAAACAACAATGTGAGAGAGACACATTGATTGGTTGCCTCCTGTACGTGGCCTGACCAGGGCTGGGGATCCAGCCTGCAACTGGGGTCGAACCCAGGACTCTTCAGTTCAAGGGCCAAACTCTATCCATTGAGCCCAACCGGCTAGGGCAGAGTGTCTTACTTTTTAACTTGAAAAATACATAGCTTCCAACCTGACTCATTTAACACATGCTAGACGTTTTCCTAATTAAAATATTCCAACTATAATAGAAGTTGAAATCTGTGTTCTCTTGTGACTTTCTTGGGTGTGGTATTTGAAGACAGTTGCTGCTGCAACACCGGTGATTCTTCAACTGGTTCCCACAGACCTCTGTGGCCGGTGGTGCAGTTCATGACCTCTCAGTGAGAATTTTAAAAAGTTATTTTGCTTTCAATGATGTATTCATTATAAAAATGAACATTTGCATAATCTTTATCATCTCTATAACACAGCCTCAAGTACAAAGCCTATATTTGGTATTTTGGGGGTGTGGGCACTTTTGGATATATTTTTGTTTTGTTGGTGTGTGTGTGTGTGTGTGTGTGTGTGTGTGTGTAACTGATTTTGTGATAGGCATTGCATTGATGCTGGGGTATGAGCGACAGGGCTTAACGTGTGGACATTAACATAGCACATCGTGTAGACATATCCCTGGATTCTAATAAGGTCCTTACAGATCTTCTCCTTCCAGGAGGCGCCGGTAAGTAGCAATTTCCTGCTCGAGCCGGATCTTCATGTCAAGGAGCTCATTGTACTCCTTGTTCTGGCGTTCTGCATCAGCCCGAACCTGCATCAGTTGGGCCTCTATGGAGTTCAGCAGTGCCTGGAGGGTGGCCAGCTGGCTGTGATAACGAGCTTTGGTATCTTGCAGTGTCTGCTCCAAAGATTGTTTCTACAAGCACAAGAAAAAGTGAACATTTCTTGAGGATTTGATTTAAGAGGTGGCTCAATTTGAATCTTTTGAGAGGAATTTCTGTAGCTTGTTATGGGCATCATGCATAATTCTGGCTTTATCTCCCACTCGCTTCCTCTAGGCAACCCCAGTCAGTCAGCTAGGACCATTAGCTCTTCGTTTTTTTTTGTTTGTCTGTTTTTAGCTTTGCACTCACTGTTCTCTTACTGTATATTGCATTATTGTTTTCAATATTTGCTTCCCCTCCCTGCGGTTTATGGTGCCACTTCATTTGGAGGATTAGCCTTCCTCATGCTATTAACACCAGGCTTGGTCATATGATTTTCTTTGGCTAGTGAGATGCAAGTGAAACTGACAATTGCCTTTTCTGAGAAGCTTTAAGAGGGATCACATGGTCTAACTATTGCTCTTTTCTTTGGGCCACAACACTGGCATGCCCCAGCCAGAGCTGCAGCCAAACCATGATGGATGCAGTGTCGTGAGCCACTATGATTTTGGGGTTGTTACCAGAGCATAATTTATCACCTGCTGACTGATTTGCTTTGCCCAGAATGTCTTTAGTCCTATTCTCTAGCTTCAAAACTAATATAAAGTTTTCAGATCTAGTTGAAATGCCACTTTCACTATAAGTCTTCCAGATC